CCTCTTGACTCTTTTATTAAGAAACAAATGATAAAATATGCCAATCGTATTGCAAATTCCACAAATACTCTACTTCAAGAAGCATACTATGTCAATAAAATTATTAAAAGTAAATGGTTTAAAACACTTGATTTGATATTAACAAATATAAATCATTTTTATCTTTTAAATGAAACAAATATTATCTCATTATCAAAATTAAAAACAATTGATGAGAAATTAAAAGAAGAATTTACAACTGAGTGGAAAAATGAAATAAATAATGACAATAGGAAAAAATCAAATTCTAAAAATAAACTTAGAACCTACAAACTTTTTAAAACCAAAATAGAACAAGAAAACTACTTAACAATTATGAAAAACATTGAACTTCGCAAATTCTTAACAAAATTTAGACTTGGCAACCACTGTCTGAAAATTGAAACAGGCCGGCATACGGGATTGGATTTTAAAGACGGAGTCTGCAATATGTGCGACAATGACCATGTTGAAGATGAACAATATTTTGTCATAAATTGTCCTCATTACAATGAAATAAGATTAAAACTTTACATTGTAGCTAATAAATGAATACCAAATTTTGACAAATTTACTAGTGAAAATAACTTCATATCATTACTAAGTGACGAGAAAATGTCAATTCCTTTAGCGCAATATTTAAAAAACTGTTTTAATACAAGACAGCAGCACCTACATAAACTAAGCCAGTAATACATTCCGTATATACAAATTTTTATCTTTTTTTTTAATGCCTTTTTGTTCCCTTACTTTTTATGTAGCTATTTTTCTTTTACTAATATCTGATTTGTAACCCTTTTCATCTCCTCCGGAGGATGTTGTGTGTTAATAAATAAATGAATAAATCAGGGCTCAACCCCGAGATTTATCAGAGCCGAACTGGCTCGAGCCAAACACCTTCACACGGCGTTGGGCTCCAATAAAATGCTGTCGTGTAAATGTAGTAATAGATAAACGGGTGATATCAATACTGGGAGTAAAATGCTTGATTGTCAAATGTATCAATCACGATGTTAGTATCAAAAGTAATGGTTGAGGTCGTAAAACTACAGTAATACTACTTTTTGGCGGGTAACTTTTGTTCAGCATTTGCTGCCCCAGACCTCAGGCTAAAACTAACTACAATGTAACTAACTAACTAACTAACTAACTAACTAAAACTGTTACCGTTAACTATCAGTGATCAAAATATGTTCTTGTATTGTTTTTAAGCTGAAAGTCACTATCATGATATTATCATTCTGAAGTTCAGTATCGGGATAGTATCATCGATAATGATCAAGAATAGCAAAAATGAATTCACAAATTGTCGAATACATAAGATACTGGAGTTTTCCATAAAATCAGATAAATAAGAATCAAAGTAGGCACGGTACGATTATGACAAGTTTTTACAGAGTCTTCGACAAGTTTCAGGTGTCTCATCGGATGATATTAATTCTGATAACCGTAATGATGAACGCGAGTTTGGAATTCCCAATACATGTATCATCATAGACCGAAAATAGGCCATTTCCATTTACTGCGAGATCCCGGGTTATGCGTGAAATCAAACATTGTATTTTGTGGGTATATCCATAGACCCTCCAGTAGAGTCTACTGGAGGGTCTATGGTATATCGTCGTTTAATAATGTGTTTTACCAGGGACACGTGACACCCCGCTCTACATAACTACAGTCCCTCAACACTCAGGGACTGTGACATAACGTACCTAACGTACCTATGGCTGTACACATATGATGGTCAATTTTGATGAAGTAAGGGTATTATTCACCTTTCGAAGGTCGGCATTTCAACATTGAACCATATAACAAAAAACTAAAGTTCAAAATCAAGTCGTTCGATTTTTGTGGCAGACGTTCGGTTCAAGACTTTCACACGTTACGCAATATCTCGCAGTGAACGGGAATCACCTTACATTTGAATGTTGTCATATATGATACGTGAAATTTGAAGCATTTTACTTTTCAATAAATTTTATATGAACTCTTTCAAGTTTACTGCTAAATACTTATATGTAATATTAATGGGAGACATGTCAACAATTAAGTAGGTCTTAACCAACCCATTGGAAATACAGAACAACTTGAATCCCCCTGTGAGTCGACGTATTTTTTTTTGAGCAGACGGTACAGAATTTTTTGTCACCACGGACTTTTTGTTTCCAGGACATCAGTGCAATACCAGGGGACTTGACTTGGGAGTTGGGTAATTGGGTGTTGTCCTTAATAAGTCACCTTTTCCAAAAAAAAAAAAAAAAAAAAAAAAAAAAAAAAAAAAAAAAAAGCAAAGAAAAAACCCCATATGGAATGCTGCTGAAAAATGTACAAACAGAAACACCGGTTAACGGATTAGTTTCTTTAGTTTGGCTATGTACTGTAAAAAAGCAACCCAATTAGCAGTTTTGCAAATAGCTCACTGTTTTGCAATATTGATATACGACCATTATACAAAATTGTTACAATTGAACTACCAGTATTTCTATTTTGTTCGCAATACTGCTGATTGGGTTGTTATTTGTTCACAGTAACCCCTTGATACCGGTAGAGGCATATAATAACTTTCGTTGACAATTTAAAGGGCGGTAGTCGTCGCGCGTTCGACGTGTTTACAACATCATGTAAACAACTATGAGTTCCACGTCGAGCAGACCGACGCCGGTTTGTACCGCCCTCTACGTCAATGACAAATCTTTTCCAACGTTTTCAAAGAAAGATGGCTGGACGTGTTTTGGCTTTCGGATATACTGCAGCAAAGGTATTTTTCTAACATATATGGTATCAATCACCTAACAAGTTATGAGTAGTTGACAGTTTTACATCTAACGTATATGGATAAAATAATATACTTTGTTGTTGAATCGGGTCTGCCCACCCTCACCCGGCCTCGGCCAAAAGTTATATAGTCGAGGAGTACAGTGCGCTTTCAAGTGACTTCATGCGACGTTCATTATATATTTGTGTTACGTAACTTCCATGACACGTCAAAATGGCCTCCAATATCCAGACAACTACTCGAAACCGCGAAGATGAACGGAGTCAAAGGTGGCATTTGACCCTTTGATTAAAGCGGGAGGGTCGTCACCTGCGCACGCGCGGGAATTGAGTCCCAAGCGACGATAACAACACATGCTAAAACGCAGAGGCTCATGGGTAGACGCTTGTTTGTAAACAATGACAAGCTATGGCAATCTGACACTTCCTCGCTTAAAAATTTGACGGGTGTCAAAATAGTACATTTGTTCTGCACAAATAATTATAACAGATACATTATTAATACTGAATAAAACATTTTACATTTATATAGTGAAAGACTTGTATCTATTATATATTTATAGTGTTTGTTAAGGAATAATAATGTAGGAGCCTTAACTACAATTCCAGGAACTGAAGCTGTTTCACATTCAATTGCTGGTATATCATTTGGTAAGTTACATGGATACATGTCATGGGTAGTTTGTCCAATATAGATTACCAGCTTATTACGAACATATATACAAGCGAGACAAGATTTGAACTCGCTGCAAAGGCAATGAGACTTAATTGCCAATGGTAGCAGATCTCCACTCACGAATTTGGCCACAGTAACTGCACCCCAAAAAAGACTTGAAATCAACCCAATAAAGTACAAACTACTGTATTTAATTTAATGTTCATTGAAACACAGTTTACAAATATAGAATATACTTCTTTTAATGCATCCATTTAGAAAGTACATTTCTTACAGTGAAAGGTATAAAGATGGAGACATTATAAATGTTTTATAAATATTAATTTTCATACATGAAAATTACTGGTAGGTTTAAAACTGAGCTAGTTCAACAGTATCTAATTAGCAAGCCCTTCATTTTGAATAAGTGGGAGGTCACAGTTGCTATGTCACTTGAAGTCTTGCATATGCTTTATAGGTGTAGTCAATGTGAAGCTCTCGAGTTATTAAATAATTGAATTTGATTAATGGTAAATGTTGAATAATGAAAGTTGCCAAGAGCAGCAGTACATGTATTTTTTAGTTTTGCATATTTGTTTTATTGTCCAGATGTTACAGAGCTCTACAAATACAATGTAAGGGTTTATGAAATTTATTTCAGAGTTGACAGATGATCAGAAGGAATATCAGCAATTAGCTCGCAAATTTGCGAGAGAAGAAATGATACCCAAAGCTGCTGAGTATGATAGAACAGGCGAGGTAATTTTAAGAGTGTTTTATAATTTCAAACGCCCCAAATCGACTGTTGCTGGACATGCAAACATAAACCAACTAGCTATGTATCAACCAGACCAGGGTACTCAGCCTTTCTATGATTTCAATTACATACAGTAGTTAATTTGCATGTACCACTATCAATATTTCAACCAGTCAAGGGAATGCTGCTGCCTCTGATTTGAGGTACCTTCTGAATTGACTGAATTGGTTTGCAGTACACATACTATAACCCAGGCCTGGAATTATTAATCAGTTTTGACTCTGGCATGTCACTTGATGTGGCTTAATGATTAATGTCTACCCAGCATCTGGGAGATTGCAGGATTGACTCCCATGGTCGGCTGCGCACACTCTACAGTAAAAAAAAATAGTACACATTGCTGAATTGCCACTGCAATCAGGGTTGGGACTATGGTATCAAGATAGAGAGGATGTAAAGCAGTTGATCCAATGTGCTACTTTTATGTTCAGTGCAAGTAAACAAATCACAGCATTCTTGTCGCAACAAGTAGCGGAGTACTGCAGGATGACTGGAACTTATGTAATAAATATCACATATGCAAGCACCACTGTCACACGCAACGTAATATTACCGTAATTGGTATAGTACAGGTGTGATGGTTCAAATACCAAAATGGCAACAGTAACAAAAAGACTTCCCTGGCGGCGATGATAAAATACGAACACGGAGCCAACAGATGAGGTTTCAACTGGTACTGGTATTATTATACTCTGCAAACATCAAGTACAATAACGCGGTAAAACTCCACTACTCCAATAACTAGATACTTAAACTGCAACACAATTCAACGAGATCTCCGATCTGATCTCAGTGCTGAACAACTCCCCTATATATACCCACACTGTCTACAAATAGACCATTACATCAGCATACATAATGAGTCTGGAATTTACTACAAATTTCTAGAATGTTCCATTACCTTCTATTGCCTTCTACAGTGTCCTATACCTA